CATAGAGATATCTCTTGCCCTGTGACCCGAGACGTTCCTTCTCTAATCAAAAGAACAAGAAAGCATGGATGGTAAGTAGACTCATATTGTAAAATTTTCGCTTTATGCTGTTTTTCTGGTATAGAAGTAACAAAAAAGGGAAGTAAAAGAAAGAGAAAGCCGAAAGTTTCAAAACAGGTGAGGTTAGAAGAAAAGAAGCAGAAACTAGCAGAAAATCATTTCGTAAAAGAAGGATGTGACAGTTCAAAGTGTAAACTAAAATGCCATGAAAACATATCAGATCTGCATAGAAAAACAATTAATATTGAATATTGGCAGCTCGATTGGATTCAACAGCGTTCCTTTATCTTGGCGCAGTGTTCTAGAGAAGACGTTAAAAGAAGAACTTTAAAAGACGATTCCTCTCAGCGAAGTATGACAGTAAAGTATTATTTACACAATGAGACCGGCAAAAAAATTAACGTGTGCAAAATATTTTTTCTTACAACGCTGGGTTACGCTAAAAAAAAACGATGGCGTTGTGTTTAGAGTACTTTCAAATGCAACAACAATTAAAGGAACCATCAGACCTGTTCCTGATAAACGTGGTCGTCAACCGTCTAATAAAAAGATAGATAGAGAAATAGTAGCTCAACACATCGAGTCATTTCATCCTACTATCTCTCATTACAGAAGGGAGCACGCCCCAAATGTTAGGTATTTGCCAAGCGACGTGAACATAGCATTCATGCATAAGACTTTCTTCAAAAACACCCCAATATAAATATGTCATATGATCTATATAGGAAAATATTAAAAGATATGCATATTCATTTCACTAAACTTGGTCATGAAGAATGTGAAAAGTGCGAGACTTTTGAGCTTCACAATTCAGATCATCATAAGGATAATTTATGCGTTGAATGTGACATTGTTGTTCCTGGTCTCAACACATTAATAAAGCCAAAGCAAGTAGAAATAAATATAAAGAAGATGCCGACACTGAATTTGATAAAGATACTCTATGTGTATCGGCAGATTTACAAAAAGTAATTATGTTACCTCGGATAAATACTTTTAAATCTGTCGTATTTACAAAACGTCTAACGGCCTATCATGAGAGTTTTGTTCCAGTAGGGAAAAAGCAAAGAGATGTCAATGTTTTTTCAGTCATATGGCATGAAGCCATTTCAGGGCGCAACAAAGAAGATTTAACCAGTGCATTTTATGCGTTTTTTATGGAACACCGAGACAAAAAGGCAATTATTCTTTGGTTAGATAACTGTACGGCCCAGAATAAAAACTGGTGTCTCCTATCGTTTTTTGTTTACATGGTGAACTTAAGTAAAGTGTTAACTGAGACAATAGAAGTAAATTATTTTGAAGCTGGCCACACTTTTATGAGTGCGGACAGCTTTCACCATCAGGTTGAGAAATCGTTGAAATACCAAAAAAAGACGTATGATTTTCGTGATTTTACTACCGCAGTTGCATCAGCTCAATCAGGAAAAGTAACTGTCAAAGCTATGGAAATAACTGATTTTTATTTATGGAAGGATTTACATTCCGTACAAAAAGTGAACAACTTGGAATAAATAAACCAAAACCGATGTTAGCAAACATGGTGAAAATTAAAGCTACAAGAGGTAGTTTTCAACTAAAATATAAAACTTCTCATGTCGAGGAAGAATATCACGATCTCAACTTTTTACAGAGCACCGTCGTACAGAAAACCCAATTGGCTGAACCAATACGTTTGACAGAACCAAAGGGAATTGAAGACGAAACAAAAAAAAATATTGTGAAGAATTTAGTACCACTAATGCTACGCAACAGAGCTGATTTTTGGAAAAATTTACCCGTTAGGAAATAATATGTGTCCATTTTTTAATCAACCGTGTTTTTGGAAAGTAATACAATTTTGAAGTTGTTTTATTAAGGATATTTTAAAGATAATTTTATTTTATTTATCAAATTTTGTAGTTACTACGTTTTTGCTTAAAAATTATCTTTGAAAGTAACATTCCAATTTACAGTATGTGCAATTAAATCATCAAACAATAGAGAAATTTTATGTTAAATGAGTTTTTTTCAAAAATGTTACCAAAAATCCCCCAAATGACGCTAAACAATCCAAACAAATCTTTAAGGCATTTTTCAACAGACGGTTACTCAAAACTGACAATTTGCAGATACTGCTTTCTTAATTATGACGGCAGTATAGTCCTAATTAAATACGTGGCTTTAGATATTCTATCCCTGACGTATGCTGTGTATTTATTCCAAGTGAACTTGCCAATATTGCTCCTAATAATTTTGATCGTTAGCAAAGTTCGTAATACGAAGATGGTCAGCACCTACTTCAAGGAACCATATTGAACCAATATGACTTATCGGTCGTTATCAATGTTGTGAATATATTGCAACTCAACATTTAACCGGTTGGTCAACACCAGCTATATTTTTGGACAATATTCGCCCAATATTTATTAAATGCTTTTCTCAGTATTGTATTTATATTGCAAATCAATATTTAACCAATATTAGTATTAACATTGTACCTATATAACTGGACAATATTCAACCAATATTTATTAAATGCCACTGTCAATTTTCATTGCAATTCAATATTTAACCACTATTAATATCAACATTGTACCTATATTTCTGGACAATATTGAATCTACCATGTTTTATGAATATTGCATTATGATTGTTTCTATTATAGTACCAAGCTTGTATCAATTTGACCCTTTATTATTCACTGTTGCGTTTCCAAGATTGGGCCATCATTGAACTACTATATCGGGCCAATGTATAACAATATTCAGTCAATATTGGTTCAATAACAGTATTTTACATGCTGCCTGGTCGCAGGTTGAACATTTTCCCACGTCTAACTTAATTCTACATTCTCTAACCTACTTTACACACATACTTTCCTAGGACGCAATCATTCTGTCAGCAGTCTTACTCAATATAACAGTACTTACTATTACTTAAATTAGGTTGCAATATTATACAGTGTGATTATCTTAACTTATACCTTACACATGGAACGGAATACGTTTACACTTAATAGGGTGCCACCTGGAGATCAAACTACAATTGCTTCTATATTGCGAGCAGCAAATTCAGTAGCTTTCGTGTCCACTCCTGAAGGAAGTGTGACCCGTGTAACAGATTTGTTACAATCCACGAGAAATTTGTTTAGGAGGAGGAGAACCGGCTCTTTGCCTACTAATATCTATTCCTCGACCACTTCATCTACACCACCAAATACACCAAGACGTGGTCGTAAAAAACAAAGCACCTTCAAAAGAAAATTATTTCTTTTAAAGCTAGCAGGAGTAGGTTTTTACCAGGTCGTCATGAGCAAATATATTTGAAACGGAGAGGTCTAGGTCAGTTAAGTATATTTCTATTATATTTATAAATTAAAAGATGATGTATGAAAAACAAACCCTATGAGTATTGATAGACAGTGGGATCTGGATACCATTGTGAATAGAATGATACACATGTTTCCATCAAATATTCGAGAACTCCTTCAAATGGCAGGGTTTCAAATTAGTAAGTGTGATCGCCAAAAAAAACTGATTTTGCTACCACCAACAAATATTTCAAACGGGTATGAATTGGAGGATGAAATTGGTCAGGGTTTGATTGTTCTTGTACCAAATACCAATTTTCCATCAACTTCCTTACTGAGATTATAGGAGATACCCAGGGAAATACACAAACTCATGAAAACGAAGAAAATAGTGATTCAGATTTTGATATACGATCTGGTTCAAGTAAGTTTTATTTATTTTCTATGTAAGTACATAAATCGTTTCGAAAGAAATTAATATCCTAAGCAAATCTATACACTACCTAAAGTAAACCCGATTTTCAATACCTATGCTTATTTTTAAAGTTTCCCATTTTTAGCGCATTTTTGAAAAAAAATACGTTATTATAGACGTTATGGCTGACTGGCTGTCCAGCTGAGTTCTCAGCAATTACAATAGCTAGAGACTTCAAATTTGCACTAAAAGCTTTTTGCTGTAGTGTAGATATGCAGGGTCTGGTCTATTTTGGGTTAGATTACCCGTAAGATTGATAATTTAAGAAAATAATTTCAATTTCAAATGACGAAATCAAGATGAAGTGTCGAATCATGCTTTGTCAAATTGAGCATAAAAATCCCGTGTGCAGACTCAAGAAATCTCTGTACGGACTGAAGCAAGCTGACCGTAGCTGGTTCAGCACCCTGAATTCAGTTCTGCAGTCACTTGGAGCGATTCCTTGCAAGTCGGACCCTTGCGTTTACAAATGTCAACAGGGTTAATCCGTTTCTTTTTGTCGTTACTTACTTGGACGATATCATCGTCGGATGAAAATTTCATCATTAACCTTGGCAAAATGTTATCCAAGAGATTCGACATGAAACACATTGGCAAAATTGGATACTGTTTGGGAACCCGGCACAGGAACTACATACATCATACCCATATAGGTGTAGTCAAAATGAAGCAAATTGCAAGAAAATCAACATCGATAAGGACGTCGAACAATTGGTGAGATCATGTGAAAGCTGTGCTCTCATAAAAAAGAATCCCGAAAAGATACCATTGTATTACTGGGAAAAACCTTAAGGACGGCATACGAATCATAATATTGAACAATTTATAAAATTAGGCAACCAACATTACTAATGGTTCAGCTATTTCATACGTGAGGTCGCAGCGTGTTGTAATGTACCTTTTATTCTGTATTTTGCCTTGACGCAATAAAACACTCACAGTCTATACAGTTTTGTGTTCGTCTTTTGTATACGAATAGATTGTGACGCACATCAACGAATCCCGCATTCCATTCCAAAAATAAACCACTTCTTACACTGTTGCATTGTTTCTGCTTGTTGTGAGTTATAAATCGGTGGACTTGTTTGTATTGTTTTCGCTATTTACAGTATTGTTATTTTTTATTAAATTAATCGTGTTTTACATTTTTCGCGAGTGCAAGGTGAATAAATAACTTTTGAAGATTTACGAGTGTTTTCGTTTATTTGTGACTGAAAACTATTTTTGAATTATCACACTAGACTATTACAATAATTAGGTAGGTAAGTCATATATGTATTAGGTTCCACATCGTTAATTATGTTTGTACAGTTTTACACAATGGGAAGAACTAAGAAGTATTTGGGCACAAGCACTTCAAGAAATCCAAAAACAAACACACGTGCTAAGAGAGCGAAGGAAGCTTGGGTTGAACGAAGGAAAAAAGCAACAGAGTCTATTGGTAGTAAAGTAGCTCGTGAGTAGTTATGCTATAACTAATTTTTCTGTTGGTTAGAGCCAATTGCTGAGTGTTCCCATATATTATACACTGTTGAAGATAGGGACGAACCTCAAACAGCTACGGAACGTGTGATTTCAGATGTGGTGATGGATACTATGGGTAAGCAAAATTAAATGTTGAAAATTACTTCTTTGAGAGTGTGATTTATTGTCATAATAACAAAAATGTATCAGTCAATTTGCATAATTGTGGGAGGGGGTGAACAGTTTGCCTTTGCAAGTCTCATGAATGCTCATTCTTTGGGGTTGGCAGCCGCCCTTATTCAATTTTGTATTTTTGTTTGGGCAAAATTGAAGCAGGCCAACTTTTTTGTCTTTTGAAGAAAGGCAGGTAGGACTAAGCAGAGTTTGTTTTTATTATAGATACAACAGCCCGCAATGACAGCCAGAGTGATACATCCGACCTCACATTACTACCTTCGACTTCCACGGGTAAAGGATACGAGGGTACCGAATCATCTATTACGAGACCAGAATTGTGAGTAATAAAGTACTATGGTAAATTAAAATTAAATTGTTTTTTTAGATCACGTAAGGTATATCCAGGAGCAAAAAAGCCTACAGCAAGTGCTGCTGCATCCCGAAGTGAATTTGGCATTATGAGTTCTATGGAATATGAAAGGTATATTGGGTAATTTTAAAGGATAGTTTATTTTGAATTTTGTTTGAAGCATTATGTCTCATCAATTGACGGTGGAATCTGAAAATCCGCCACCTGAAGCAATAACGGGAAACCGAATTGTGGAAGTTGGGTATTTTGCACAGCAAATTATTAATGCACAATACGAACATATGAAAATCTGTACATTTGGAAAATTGCATTTGTATAATGAATACAATAGGGGAATGGGATTGGTGTCCTGTATAATCTTAAAGTGTGCATCATGTGATCGTGAATTTAAAATATTCACTGAAAATCCTAATAAACAAAGTTCCTCATTGATTGATCAATCAACAATGAATATAGGGTCTGTGTGGGGAACTATAGCTTCTGGAGGATCATACTCACATATGTGCGAATATCTTAGCGCATTAGATATTCCTGTAATGCATGGTTCTCTGTTTTATCAACTTGAGGACCAGTTAGGAGAAGTAAGTTGATTTGATTGTATCTTTTATAAAAATTAAATATCTACTTGTAGATCTGGAAAGAATCATTGTGGAAATCCATGAAGGCAGCTGGTCTGAAAGAAAAAGAAAATGCAATTGCCAATGGAAATTTATGTAATGACGGCATTCCATGGATAACTGTTTATTTGGATGGCTCCTGGAGTAAGCGGTCATATGGTCATAACTACAATGCACTTTCTGGCATGGTAAGTTGTGTGTGTAAACTTAATTTTGATTAATTTCAAGCACGTATGTGTTACAGGTTGCAATCATTGGCAAGTATACAAAAAAAATCCTCTATTTGGGTGTACGCAATCGATACTGCTCAGTTTGTGCACGAGGAGAAAACGAAAGTGCAGATATCAAGATGCACCATTGTTTTAAAAACTGGAACAAATCTGCTCCAGCTATGGAAGCTGATATGGTGGTGGAGGGATTTTGCCAAAGTGAAAATACGCATGGCGTGCGCTACGGTAAATTTATTGCTGATGGTGATTCTAGCACATTCGCTAAAATTAAAACAAATGTGCCATATGGTAGCACTGTTAAAAAAGTAGAGTGCACAAACCACGCCTTAAAAAATTATGGAAAGCATCTCCATAAAATAAAAAGTGATACCAAAATTAATTTAAGTGGAAGAAGATTATTGACAGTGGAGAAAATTAAGCTTTTAACAAAGCGGGCTAAAGCAAGCATTTATGAGCATGCAAACGCTGAGATGTCTGTGTCTTTTTTGAGAAAAGACTTAGAAATTGGATTTCTGCATGTCTTTGGCGATCATAGTAATTGCAGGGTAAATATATGTAACACTGTAGGCGACGTTTCGAACAATGCAGTTCCACAGTTAAAAGCGACTTCAATGTATGATCATATCAATGGTAAGTAAACTGAGTTTGTGTAAAAATGTATGTGTTTATTGAACATTTATACTTACAGGAGCTTTGGAACTGCTTATAAGAAAAGCTAATTTGCTCATTGAAAATGAAAATAATAATGCAGCAGAATGTTTAATGAATATTGTCTCTCGTTTTAATATGGGGAAGAGAGTTAATTTGGTGCAACGTGGATCATACGAAAGACGAGTTTATCTGGCAGCTTTGCGGTACAACAAAGCGTTTGAATGGCCTATTAGCCCTTGGAAGAATGTGACAGGTGCCACAATTGGTGAAAATTATCAACAGTTCATCAAAACTAATATGGCGATAAAAGATAGCAAAGTACGGAGGAGATTGGTCCAGAAAAAAGTTAGTCTCAAAAGGAAGAACATTGTGAAACCTGTCACAAAGATAGATACAACTGCTTATGGTCCATCAGCAGAACAACCAGAAGAAGAAGAGCAAAATATCGAAGAAGAATGTCAACGATTAATTCAACACTTGCATGTAAATTTTAAAAATAATGTATTTAGAAATAGAGTCTACTTTTTGTGTGCCATAGGTGGAGGAGAATGAAATCCCTGCTATTGCTGAGGCAACAATGGGACAATTTTTTAATGATGTGTACATAAAGTTCAAAGAACGGCGCCTTACTGCATCAAACTTCGGCAGAGTAGTTAAACGAAGGCCGTACACTCCTTGCCACGGAATTGTCAAACAATGCCTGGGGAAAAATATTTTTAGCACGGAAGCTACAGAGTATGGCATTTCCAAAGAATCGGTGGCAATAAAGGCATTTGAAAAGAAGCAGAGTGTGACTGTAACAAACACTGGATTGTGGATACATAAAGATTATGGATTTTTAGGAGCATCACCAGATGGTATGTTTTTAAATTGCTAATTTTTTAATCAACTTTTTTGCACTAGGTCTTGTTGGTACAGACGCCATCGTGGAAGTGAAATGTCTGTACTCTTGTTCAAAATTGGAGGAAACTGATTTGGAAAAAATATTACTTTTAAAAAAAAACACCTGTTTGCAACTAAAGGATGGCAAAATATCTTTAAACAGAAGACATTCTTATTACTATCAAGTACAAGGCACCTTGAACATTACCAAGAGGAGCAAATGTTATTTTGTTGTTTATATTAACGATGCAGTTCCACTCTACATAGAGGAGATTGAAATAGACATTCATTTTTGGGAACATGAAATGGTGCCAATATTATTAACTTTTTACAAAATGTGTATTGCCCCAGAAATTATAAGAAACAATATCGGGAAGGGAAAAAAGTGTGTTGATCCACAATACATAATAGATGCGATAAAAAACCGTGAAGCACAGTTGATGGAAGCGTGTAAGAAGAAGCGGAAAACCAAAGCAGAAAACCTCGCAGAAAACAAAGAAAACTAATTACACATGGCTCATATCTAGCTTGCTGAACATAGGCCCTTAATTGGATTCCCTATGTCAGTTTCAGCTACAATCCTCCACTGCCTGTACAGGGAATCTCCAAGATATAAACTTTATTCCGGAATCACAGCTAGCTGGCTGAACGTGTAGGCCCTTGATTGGATTACCTACGTCAGTTTCCGCTAAACTCGTGAACTGCCTATATACAGAAAATCTCTTAAAAGTAAGTTTTGTTCCGGAATCATATCTAGCTTGCTGAACATAGGCCCTTAATTGGATTCCCTATGTCGGTTTCAGCTACAATCCTCCACTGCCTGTACAGGAAATCTCCAAGACATAGACTTTATTCCGGAATCACAGCTAGCTGGCTGAACGTGTAGGCCCTTGATTGGATTACCTACGTCAGTTTCCGCTAAACTCGTGAACTGCCTATATACAGAAAATCTCTTAAAAGTAAGTTTTGTTCCGGAATCATATCTAGCTTGCTGAACATAGGCCCTTAATTGGATTCCCTATGTCGGTTTCAGCTACAATCCTCCACTGCCTGTACAGGAAATCTCCAAGACATAGACTTTATTCCGGAATCATACCTAGCTGGCTGAACGTGTAGGCCCTTAATTGGATTCCCTATGTCAGTTTCAGCTACAATCCTCCACTGCCTGTACAGGAAATCTCCAAGACATAAACTTTATTCCGGAATCACAGCTAGCTGGCTGAACGTGTAGGCCCTTGATTGGATTCCCTACGTCGGTTTCAGCTAAAATCGTGAACTGCCTATCTACAGAAAATCCCAAAACTAAGTTTTGTTCCGAAATCATGTCTAGGAACTGCCTGTATAGAAAATATCTTAGAAGAAAACTTTATTGTGAATTTATGCCAAAGTAAAGCTAAGCGTGAGCCCTAAATTTGATTCCCTACATGAGCTCAATATGCACATATGCCCAGTGGGACAATAGGGCTGAAATTGTTGTTTGTTACTCACGAGAGCACAGTGATCAAATAACAACATTTGGCGAACACCCACTTAAAAAAAAAGGTAACGAGCCAATGACAGTACCTCTAGGGTGGTTTGGAAATCTTGTTGATATAATAATTTTTCGAAAAACTGTTTATTGTAAACAATTTTTGTTATTATATATCATTATAATCAATATATCATTTGCTGTTGACAATATAATCATTTTTACAATATAAGAAAGGAAGTAGCAAAGCGAAACTACATGCACTCCAAATTAATTATTATACTACCTATACCTACTCGAAAATATTGTCACTAGCAAGTATATTAATAATAATTTTATATTAATTAAAATTGAGCCCACATAACAGTATTGCGTACAATTATTATATTTTGAACCAAATAGTAATAGATCATCCTAGTAGATATTACCATATCTGTCTCATTTTTTTTACAGAGCTGAGAGCAATGTTGCAATGCAGAGATGCGTTCCGACGTACGAGTACATGGCAATCATTAAATGCGACAGTTAAATACTTTCTGTATTACTTAAATCAGTTAAATCTATGTTCAACATTTATGTTTGATGCCTACATTATAATATTAATTGTTTTTATCTTTTCAATAAACATATTTCATAAGTACAAATTCATCATTTTGCCGTAATAACCATTCTTCGCCAATCTCTTCGTATCATTGCTCCTGTGATCTAACGTTCACTGGCACTAGAACAAAGTAATGGCCACCTTAATAAAAAGAAAGACTAATTATTTGTCACAGTAAACAATGTCTAAAAAATACGATAAATTTAATGATAGTGGTATTCACTTGACGATTGGAATGTGAAAAAGACACAACTACCATCCTCGGAGGTTAAAGGTTTACTGAGAACAACATGATATCAAACTTCGTTCCAAAGCAAGTACCATTTTCCGAAACATGAATTGGCTTCGATAATACAATTGTCAAGTGGTTTATTAAACAGGCAAAGTATGGTAGGTACTGTTTCAAAGTTACTTGTTCATTATAATTACAAATCCTATGGTTAGTGATTACAAAAATCACTTCACGTTTTTCATTTTAAGGTTTTAGAACCCTGAAATCTTGATTTGAAGTGTTTATGTATGCCTGCTTAAACGTGGCAACGCCGTTTATGAAACTACCGTTATTAATAGGTCAAGGCATTGTGTTGAATGGGTGAAGGTCGCGCAGTTGGCTACGAACGCGGTATCATTCTTAACAGTGCCATCTAGAAATAAATGGCTAGACTACTGTTGCTTCCCGCCATTTTTTGATACGTAACTGTATAAAAATACGATCTTTGAGAATGACTCCCGGATAAATTAGTGGATTTTGACCGACCAAATTTTCAATATTGACAGAAGAAGAGCAGCTTTAGAGCGACTATACTTTAAAATTCAACAATTGCTTAAAATAAAAAATAAAATGTGTCGTTTTATTTTATTAATATTGTACTACTTATTGTCTTTCTAAAAAAAAAATTATATAGTCGCTCTAGAGTAATGCATGTAGAATTTATATTTTCAAAAACCACCCTAAAAAATGATTGTATAAGCCCAGGAGTCATTCTCAAAGTTCGATATAATTTCCCATTGCAATTTGGCAGTGGCGACCTCTATTGGTTCTCATGAATAGTATGCCGTCCTTAAGACAGTTTCGATAAGATTCATATGGACTATGCAGGACCGTTCCAGGGTTATCATTTTTTCGTCGTAGTAGACGCAAAATCGAAATGGGCCGAAATTAAGCCAATAAAACAGGCACCTACATCTGGATCTACCATAAATTTATTACAAGATATCTTTTGCACGCACGGGTTACCAAAAGTTTTGGTATCCGATAATGCAATCTTTCAAAGTACAATTTTCCATGAATTTTGTACTAGAAATGGTATCGCTAATTCGTTCTGACATAAGAGGATCTGTAAATCCATGTACATCAAATGAAGAACAATACTTCAAGTATTAATTGATGATTACTCACATTTTTTAATCGTGAAATTATTAAAATCAAAAAATTAAGCTGAACAAAATATATTTGATTTTATTAATTTTAATAAAGACTCGCACGCGGTAATTAACTACCCATTGCCAAAAAATGGTCACGAAGTTCACAGATTTGTAGGACTTGTGTCCTACTTTAGAAGATTTGTCAAAGATTTTGCTTTTTTAGCTAGACCCTTATATGCACTTATTCAAAAGAATATACAATTTCAATGGGGATCGATAGTCCTTTGACAACTTAAAACAGAAGCATCTAATTAAAATCACTACTACCTAGCCATTGTTAAAAAATCAATTGGGTTACTGGTTATATACGAGTATGTTGACCCGATTTAGATTTCCAAGCATCGTGATACCACTGCTGTGTTAATTCAATAGAGCATATATTGGAGTTATGCTTGCCAAGTTCAAGAAATATAAGTGTTTCCTCACATTTGGTGAGAAGCAAAACCACAACTATATTGCAAATGTAAGGGAAACGACTACAATGTTTGGAAAAAAAGTTCAATGTCACAGTAGTTATGTCCTTTTGATTTAATATTGCTACATGTAACTCATATTCACGTTTGCTTGCATTTTGTTAGAGAAAAAAGGGTGTCTGGCGATCTCTAGTTCTTAACGTTTGCAATCAAAATTTGCAAACATTTTAATAAAATATGTACTCTGTACTAGTCACCATAAAATGACAAAGAGGCATAATCAAAAATTGGAATTGATTTTTTAGCAGATATGCTGTTTTGCATAAACATGGCAGACTAGGTACTTATAGGTATTTAAAATACTTAAAAATCTATTTACCAACTGTAACGAACTTCGTTGCGTAGTCCAAACACCAGCTGATCCCGCATATTCTCGTCCAATTTGGAACCGAAATCACAAGTGCTTGCTAGCTTCTTCAGATGAACGACATACTCGGATATAGACTCTCCCGCTGTTTGCTTCCGCTGCCTGAATTTGTAGCGTTCCGCGATGACGGACGGTTGGGGATTTAAATGATTTTTCACTATTTTAACTAACTGGTCAAAATTTTTATCCTCGGGTTTGTCCGGGTCACACAAATCGACCATAAGCTCATATATTTTATCACCCACGACCGACAATAACACTGGTACTTTCCCCTCGTCATTAATTGCATTAGCGATAAAAAATTGGTTAACTCGCGCTACGTATGTTGGCCAATTTTTCCCTATCTGGTCGAATTCCGGTATCCTACCGATTGACATCATTAATTCTCAATCCTCGTCGCCACTTGTAACGAACGGCAAGAAGGTACGAATACGACTGTTTATTTATCGGTTATCAAATACATGCATGGTACAAACTAAATAGCCTTGACCAATACCTATTCCGAACATCAACAATTAGGGTTATGATATTTGTTAAAGAACAAAAACTCTCTTTTTGATTACGCCCAGACCAATTTGTGGCACAGGCAACTTCATTCGAAAGCATTTTGGTTAGAATTCTCCTACATGTATCGGTTAAGTCTTTTCCTCCAATAATCAATCGCCTTTAATCGCGTTAATTTTGGCAATCGTACAGAATGCTTTTTTGTTTAAGTTTCAAATATTGTTAGCCGTGATCGTTATAATTATAAGGACATCTAATTTATATTTTATTCCTAGTGCCTTTTTGTTTTTTTGTGTCCTCTGTAGCTAGTAACTACTTAATTACTAATTATTATTTTATTTCTTGTGTACTTTGTTATATTTGAGTTATATTTCATTTACTCACTTAAATGTAAATGTACTGCTCAACTGTAATTGGGGTAAAACCTGTAGTTGAGCAAGCAAATTTCATCAATAAATCGCCAACATTTTTATCTGAAATGTATTCATAATTAGATTTTGGTCATACAAACTCACTTAACTTACTGTTTCTGACATAAAAGCTTCTGAATTTTATTTTGCATCCAGGTCTTTTAATTCCTGGAATGTAACAACTGTTTCCCATTTCTCTGTACACACCAAATCTTCCTTATTGTTGTCTCTATTTTGTTGCTGCTGCATAATATACCGGGTGGTGCCTAGCGCGACGATATATATATATATATATATATATATATATGATATATGATACCCCTTACGATCAACATATACTTTTATATATATATATATGTTGATCGTAAGGGGTATCATTCCATTAATGTGCAGTTGGTAGGTGTGAAATCAGTAGATTACTATATTTAATATGACATGGTTACAGATTTGTTCACCACACCTACGAATAATCGTTTTTTTGTCAAGAGATGGCGCTTAAAACCTATTGAAATATATGTCAAACCCACATTTTGTTGGTAAGTCAGCTCGCTACAAAACGTAATGTTTGCTTAGTCATTTACGAGTTAGTGGCATACTTCTTTTTCGTGTTAAAAACACAAACATTTTTCAGGTTGTTGTGTCTGAAGAACAACAAACAAACCTTTTTATAACATAATTAAATTAAAAGGGAGGCCCCAAAGCGGACCACAGGTTAACAGGAAGAAACGTCTAACGACTCACAAGTTTGTGAAGCATTTTTAAAACGCAGTTCAGATGGGTATTTACCAAAAAAATCAACCGTGTTTACGACAGTAAATGTAAAGAAATTCTTAGAAACCGCTTCGGATGATATATATTTAGCAACAAAGGTAGATTTTTTAGAGAATTAATTAGTTTTATTGTACGAATACATGTTATTCTAGGTAGCCCTTCTGATTGGTATTACCGGAGCTTGTCGTAAAAATGAACTTTACAACATAAAAATGACACACATAAAGGATTTGGACTCTGCAATATTATTTGATATTCCCGATACAAAAACCAAAACACCAAGACAATTTACAATAACGGGTGAATTATTGTGAAGAAATATGCTGCATTAAGACCGGTTCCCTCTGATAACTGTGAATTTTCAAAAAGGAAAATGTATGAAGCAAGTTATTGGGATTAACAAATTGGGAAATATGCCCAAGCAAATTGCAACTTTCCTTAATCTAGAAAACCCGCAAAAATACACCGGTCACTGCTTTCGCCTTACATCGGCTACTATGTTAGTAAATGCAGGAGCGAATATCACAACATTAAAAAGACATGGCGGGTGGAAGTCGTCGGAGGTTGCGGAAGGATACGTGGATAATTCCTGCAAAAATCGTATTAACGTCGCCAATAAGATCGTGACTTCAGTCATTGGGTCAAATTCAATGTTTGTACCCTCAAGTTCCAACGTTCGCACAACAGTGTCCTCGTCATCTACTAACCAAGCAGTTGTGGAAAACTCTACAGCAAACATTTGTAATACACCAATTCTCAACTTTCATAATTGTCAGAATACCATAAATATCACAAATAATAAAAATTAAAGTTTCCTTCTTATTCCTTCTTGCATTTGATTTATTTCTTGCGGTCGTGGAGAAAGAATATTCTGCGACGCGGTTGGAATGGACATTCAATGCTCGTGTATCCTCGCGCTCGCGTTGACTTTCTCCATTCCAACCTTGTTACATACCTTGTTAATATTCTTGACATATTCATTTCTCGTACGGCCAGGTGTACGGCTATTTCGATTTCCACGGCGAAAACTTCTTCGAGTATCGCGAACCAAGTTGCAAAATCGTCATCATCTGATAAC